AAAAAATAAAAAATAAAAGTATACTATACGTTACGGATTTTGATCTTCCTTGGGGCTTGTTCTAACTGGATTATTTGCACCCAGTAAAATGTAGGGAACGGTGCCACCAATCTGCAGCTTATCTGGAGAACAAACCAAGCTTCGACAGGCCAGATCTGCTAAATCAAAAAACGGAGCCGCTTGTCTAAAGCCTTTAACCTGTTGTAATATATCTGGAACAGTGCTGAGCCTGACCTTGTGTATAAAGTCCAAAATTATGTTACCATTAAAGACATCTGTTTGTGAGGCTCCTGACTCCCCAGCGTTGTGCTACAGCGGCCCCATCTCACTCTACTCCCAGTGTTTCTTTCATCTTGGCAGCCTGGATGGTGGCAGAATTGGGAACTGCTGATAAAATGTATCCTAAAGCCTTTCTGCAGAGTTCCGGGAGTTTCATGGAGACCAAAGTTTGTGCGGTTCTTCTGTGACTAGAGAACAATAGGGCATTTGTTGAAGGTGGTAGTTTCCAAGACTGGGGCGTGATCTAGCAAGTCTGCCTGTGGTTTTGGTTTCAAGGCTTCAGACTGAAAGCCAGGCTGGGCAATGTAGACTTGTGCCTTTGTGTCGGTAAAGACCTCAAACCAGCGTGTGTGCAGGGAACCCACCTTTACCAGCGCTGGCACAGGCTTTGCTGAGGACACAGTGTTCGTGGGGATGACAGGAGCTGTGGACCTGGTGGGGGGCTGATCCGTAGTAGGAGTTTTCAAGAATTCAGGAACTGCTGGGGACACTGAAGTAAACTGGTGGAAAAGGCAGAAAGGGAACAAGTAGGTGAACTCAATGACATAAAATTAGAAAAACCAGAATTAGAAGGGAATGACCTCATTTTTTTTTTTTTTTTTAAGTCTACTAGAAAAGAAACAAAAGAAAAATATACTATGATGTCTGAGACCCAGATGGTGGAATAACATGCTTTACCTCCATGGAGCCAATTAGTTAGTCTTTGCCCCAACAGCAATGAAAAGCTAAAGCTAAATAAGGCTCGACTGACTCCACCCTAGTAGTGCTTTCTCAGAAATATGGTCAGAACCGCCCTGTTCTGGCAGAAGAAAAGTCCCAAGGCTCTTGTAAAAATGATCAAAACAATAAAAGACACTCGTAAGGTTCTCTTGCTGTATAGATCACAGTAATAATCCTGGTGAATTCAAATGTGATCATTAGTCTTTGTTACAGGGTCTGATCAATCCTCTCCTGCACACCCTAGATCCAGGGCCTGGCAGCATGTGGGTAAGAAAGTTCCCATTCCTTGGAGGCCCACTCCACGTACGGGTCCTTAACTGTGCTTTATAGCTTATGTCCCCGTGTCCAAGCCTGACTGGTACTCTCCTTAGCCATTTCCACTCCCCCATTTCCTGCAAGAGGAGGGCACCTGCTGAATGTATTCTGGTAATATCGACTTGTTTCACTGATGGCGACCCTTACACCTAAAGCAAGAAGCTAGTTTGTTACCAAGGCCAAATAAGCAACCCCGAAACCTCAATTTGGAGTCACGTATTAACAAAGGAAGCGACCTACGGAAGGCCTTGATAGCTTTTATCAACAACCTAACAACCCATTTCCACTAACAATCTACTCTAAGTAGATTTTAAGTATTCACTTACCGGAAAGAGATCTTCCTATTATAACGGATCAGTTCAATGTTGCGCAGTGATTCCCACATGGACTTTACTATTACCAGACTTGTTTTAAGGAAACTTTATCCCTTCTTCCTCTATCCCTTCCACTCCCCCACGTAACTCTCGAATTCATTACAAGAATCAAAGTCAGTTCTTTTGCTGATGTATTTGGGTTTAAGAATAGCACACTGTATTTTTCCTCCTTAAAATAAATGACCTGAGAACTCAGACGCTATTTAGCAGCAAGAAATATGAAGCTTGGCAGATACTAGTTACTCAATAAATATTTGTGTAATGGGTGAATGGAAATTCCTTGTGGCTTTACTCATGCGGGGTGAGACTCTCAAGGCCAGCTGGGACTGTGAGTATGTGTGTGGGTGTGCAGTGAACTGTGCTCACCCATGTGGGCTCTTTCCCCAAGCTCGCTTTTCCTTTTTGCCACTGATTTCAGCTTTTAAGTAATTATAAACTAACAGTCAGTGTTGACAATAAAAAGACTTGACTTTTTAAAGATGGCTACACAGTAGCCCCCTCAGCCATGGTTTATCGTACTTTCAGGGACCCATGAGCATCTGCGGTCCTGAAGCAGATGACCCTCCTCTGACATACGGTCACAAGATCAACAGCAGCTTAAGGCTACGTCACATGCCTACGTCGTTCACCTCACTTCATCTCATCACGTAGGCACTGTATCCTCTCTGTCATCACAAGACAAAGTAGGGCGAGTATAGTATGGTAAAGATATTTTGAGAGTGAAAGACCACATTCACATAACTTTTATTCCACTATATTGTTAGAACTGCCCTATTTTGTTATTATAGTTGTTAATCTCTTACTGTGCCTCATTTATAAAGAGAACTTTACAGTGGTCGGTACATACAGGAAAAAACAGTATACGCAGTGCTGGGTACTATCTGTGGTTTCAGGCATCCCCTGGGGGTCTGGAAATGCATCCCCTGTGGATAAGGGGAGACTACTGTATTCAATTTCATTCAGACACATGAAAGAAAGGGCCTTATCCAAGAGTCTTGACACCTGTGTTCCAGGCTGACTTCTGCCCCCAAAAGGCCCAGAGCCAGCCGCCTGAAGTGGAAGGTCAAGGCCAGCTAATCACTGCTTTAAAGGATGTGGTTTTATTTGTTTCTCTTTCACTTTGCACATTTTCTGGAAGTGAGGATATTTATCTCCGGGTCAATTTTCACACAGGGAAAAACATTCCTTGGCTGTTAAATAACTGGCATATGAAGAAGAACCACATATTTGAATATATATATTTATATCTATGAGAAATAAATATATATATAGATCTTTCCTTGCAGATAAATTCTACTAACCTGGCAAGCTATTTTACCAGTCCAGCCCCCACTGACTGATATGATAGCAATGATGCATTTGCGAGCAGTCAGTGTTAATAATCTGAAAAATAATCCAGAAGTATGAATGTGGTATTAATTATAATATGTATGAAAATGATTCTCCTGTATTTCTAGACCTTGCCTAGTTGACCTCAGCCTTGATTACTGATACTCTCATCTTATTAGATCTTTCGGTATTTCAGTGTGACTTTACTACCCAGAAAACCACAGACCCCAGTGAAACACAATAACCCCACTGAGATACAGTGATTTTTAATATTACCTACTCTGAAGATAAATTCTGGTTAAAAAGGGAGAAATGTCTAAACACTTCTTTACATTTTGCCAGTCTTTTTTATGTGCTTTAGAAACGACCCCTCAAACCACCTTATATCCTACCTAGATGTGAGGGTCCTGGTGGCTAGAGTTACAAAAAAAAAAAATCTAAATATCAGTACTTCTGAAAGGATAGTATTCCAAAAAGGATGAAAAGAATATCCAAGCCATAAAGGATATTACACTTATTTTATTCCACAGTAAAGTGAGCAATATGTTAAAATCTTAAAAGAATGCTTTAAAAATGTTTAGATTTCCACTGAGACCTAAGTTCACCTTTTGTACTTTAAAAATTTCATCTCAAAATGACTCAGAATCTTTTCTCCAAGAAAACAAAAAAGCTGCAAATTTTGCTTTGTTTTATTGAATCTTGACCGCTGTTCCCAAGCTACAGGTCTCATGACCTCCAATTCTTCAACTGTCATCACGACACCATGACAAGAAATGTCAGAAAGACATTGCTGTCTAATGATGAATATTTAGGCTTTAAATAAAACTGAAGAAGAAAGCACTTTGAACCTTAAAGACTGACTGTTCTCTTCTTAGAAATTGTTAAGGGAAAATTCTGCTACAAAGACAAAAATAAGTCAGAGTAAACGTTTAAGCTGATTAAAATTTTATAATGTATCAGGTGTCTACATCCATTCCTTCCGTAAAGATAATACACTTGTCAGGGACCAATCACTGTTCTCTGGTAAGTTCCTTTTTAATTAGATTTCTTTATGTGATCTAGAGGGCAGAAATTAGATATTTAAAAACAAAGCTTTTTTTGGTACTGTAGATTTTAAATCTAAAATAAATGTGTTTTTAATTTAGGATGCAGCAGAGATCTTAATTAAGATGGGAATATGCAAATAAGAAATTCAAAATGTAATTATTCTTTAAATATTGTTTCCATATTCCAATTCTCAGACAAATAAAATGGATACTAGTATGAATGAGCTGAATACAAATCAAAAACACATGCTTTGTATATTTAATAAATGGATCTTTTATGTAAATTTTAGTTTTGTTAAAATCTATCACTTAGCATTGACCACTCTGTTTATGTAATGCACAGTTAAAAGTTTAGGCATTTCATTTTTAGTACAAGTAGCTGGACATTAAATTAATCTTTTGGCAGAACATCTGGTGGACATTTAGCTGGTACTTGACAACCTGATTAGTAGTGAGGATTTGCATGTGTCCCTCATTTAAAAAATTATTTAAAAAAATTGTGGTAAAATATATTTAACATAAAAGTTACCATTTAAACCATTTCAAAGCGTATAATTCTATGGCATTACGCACATTCCCATTGTTCTCTGTCACTAACATCCGTCTCGAAAACTTTTTCATCTTCCCAAACTGAAACTCTCTATCCGTTAAACAACAGTTCCCCATCCTGGCCTCCCACCAGCCCCTGGCAACTACTGTGTACGAGCTGACTGTATGAGTGTGACAAGTCTGGGAAGCTCATAATAGTGGAATCACACAACATTTTTCCTTTTGTGTCTGGCTTATTTCACTTAGTGTAATGTCCTCAAGGTGCATCCATGTTGTAGTGTGGGTCAGAATCTTCTTTTTTAAGGCTGAATAATATTCTATCATATGGATGTACCACGTTTTGTTTAGCCATTCATTTGTCAGTGGACACAGGGCTGCTTCTACCTTCGGCTTTGGGCATAATGGTGCTCTGACCACAGCCGTACAAATACCTGCTCCAGTCCCTGCTTTTAAAGCTTGTAGGCGTGTACCCAGAAGGGGAATTTCTGATCACATGATAATTCTAGTTTTAGCTCTTTGAGAGAAGCACCATACCATTCGCTATAGTGATTGCACCATTTCACAATCCTACCAAGAGGGTAGAAGGATTCCAATTTCTTCACATCCTTACCAACGCTTGTTAATTTTGTTCTTGGTTAGTAGCCATTCTAATGGTGTGAGGTGCTATCTCACTGTGGTTTTGATTTGCATTTCTCTAGTGACTCGTGCTGTTAAGCATCTTTTCATGTGGTTACTGGCCATTTGTTTATCTTCTTTCTTGCTTGCTTAATTTTTAAGGGGGGAGGGGCAGAGGGAGAGAGAGAGAATCTTAAGCAGGCTCCACACTCAGCGTGAAGCCCAATGCAGGCCTCCATCACACGACCCTGAGATCATGACCTGAGCCAAAATCAAGAGTCAGACCCCTAACTGACTGAGCCACCCAGGCACCCCTTGTTTACCTTTTTTTTTTAAAGATTTTGTTTATTTGAGAGAGACAGAGAGGGTGAGAGAGAGGGAGAATGAGCACGAGTGAGGGGGAGGGGTAGAGGGAGAGAGAAAAGCAGACTCGCTGCTGAGCAGGGAGCCTGACGTGGGGCTCGATTCCAGGAACCTGGGACCATGATGTGAGCCAAAGGCAGACGATTAACCGGCTGAGCCACCCAGGTGCCCCTGTCTTCTTTTGAGAAA